CACACACACACACACACACACACACACACACACACACACACACAGTGCATACAGTACAAGAACATAAAAAAGAGGAAATAAACACTCTCGACAGTCAACTCTCCCTTCCTGCTAACAATGCTGAAACACACCCTGATTGTTGGTCAGCCTGCTTGTGCTATCCAACCTCTATCCCTATCCGACCTCTGCAGCTCATCCAGAATGCAGCAGCTCGACTGGTCTTCAACCCACCTCAGTTCACTTACAATACACCGCTCCTCTGCTACTTCCAATGGTTACCAGTCCCCTTCAAGGCACTAGTACTTGTGTACCGTCCGTGCTGTGAACAGATCGGGCCCAGTCTACATCCAGGACATGGTTAAACATTACACCCCAGCCCGTCCACCCCGTTCTGCATCGGCCAATCCGCTTGCTGCTCCCTCACTGCGAGGGACACCTAGCCGCTCAACAAAATCACATCTCTTCCGACTACACTTTGGTTAAGAAAATGATGTTTAATAACTCTGGTGTCTATACTTAAAAAAAAAAAGTTTAGTTGCACTATTTTGCATGTACATGTAGCGCTTGTAGTTTAGCATTTTTGAAGATTTATTGTACATGAGTCTTGCTGTTCTGGGTTTGTACCCTCATGGCTGAATGCACTTATTGTAAGTGGCTTTGGATAAAAGCGTCAGCTAAATGATATGTAATGTAATGTAAAAGTCACTATTATCATTATCACCCCACTCCCAGATAAAACCAGTAATATTTGTGTATAAATACATTTGCCTCACACTCTTTTATCTTAACAATCTTTTTTCGTTGGTGCTCTAAGTTACCTTGTAGGTGAAAGTCTCAGCGTGGAAGTGAACGGTGTGCATGTCCACTTCGTTGCCCATTCCCAGTAGATACCAGTCGACCTTCTGGCCCTGCATCATCACCAGTCCATGGAGGTTACCGTACAGCTTGCCATTGATCCCTTCAATACACGCAGAGAATTACAGAAAGTAAAACCAGTATAACAGATTTTCCTTTTACATGTTGACACCAATCCCATCTTGAGTGTGTCGACCAAATTCAGACACAAGATTTGAAATCAAATCATGTTGGCCGGGCTATCCATTTGAATTGTGACACTACATGTGTCTGTAACCTTGGAAAACATCAGGTTTGGTTTGGTTTGGTTTCAGACACAAAACAGAGAATGCCTGGGTCGAGCTAGGTTAGTTTTCTGGCAGCATCAATAAATCTTAATTTTTTTAATAGATTAGATGGTTTCACTCTTTACACCCCCTCCTCCTTTTCTTATCTCTCACCGTGCATCTTGTTACTCTCTTCAAATTCCTCACTCTTTGTGAAGGCATTGGGATCTGCGCCAATGTACGTCCTGATGTTGTCGTCCAAATACCACGACTGGTTTTCATCATGTACCATAAAGAGCAGAGCAAATTCCTTCTCCACGTCACCCCTCTGTCTGTCGGGCCCCTCCCCGCGCTGCAGAGTCCCGGGCCTGCATATCACCAGAGGCCCCAAGAGACCACTGTACAGATCCTGAACATAAACAAAGGAAGCTTCTCTGTCACATACAAGTAGTAAATCAACCACCCAAAGAAAAACTCCTTCTTTGAACAGCAGGAGGGTGAATTACTGTGATTGTCTATGGAGTGTATGCACCTTAATGAAATCAACACTGGAGTAGTAGGCGTAAGAGATGCAGTTAGGATCTGAGACCCCTGGACCAGAGCTTACAGGAACATCCCAGGTCAACTCGAGTATGTGACCTGAAGACAAGAGAACACAGGACAACAAAAGTAAATCCCACGTTTTTAAGAAAACACCAGCAACATCTTGCACTTTATTTATTTTATTCAAATTTTACTCTCACCAGGTTTGACAGGAACGTGTGCGCCACTGGCTCTGACTCCATGTGCACCAATCGAGTATTCACGACTGGCTTTGTTCTTGAATGAGATCACGATCTGCTCTCCTACTTCTGCTTTGATTATCGGTCCTACAGGGGAGGAATGAACCCATGTTGTCTTCAGCATTTTCTTTCTTTTCCATCAAACAACACAAATTACAGCTAAATTTACCCATAACTCCCAGGTGCTGTTGACTGGGCTGCCGTTTCTTCTGAACACTGAAGGTGCCGTTTGTGTATTCTCTGTACACCACCTTCTTATAGCGTGAGCCAATTGTGTCCTTCCCTTTCTCCACAAAGATGCTTCCTGGACTGGGAGACATGTGCAAATTTGCTCCGATTAACAAACAGTAATAAGTAATGCCACTAATCACAGCCTCCGTCTCAGACACTGAAATGCATCATCCTACAATTATCATGGTGATACACTGATACACACACACACACACATACACATACACATACACACACACACACACACACACACACACACACACACACACACACACACACACACCTGTCCTCTGATGTGGCCTGATGCTTCTCCAGCTCCCAGGTTCTATCAGGTGAGTAATCCCACTCGATTTCTTCAGCACTGATGAAATACTCCACAATCTTAGTTGGCTGTGTGCGCGTGTGTGTGTGCGTGTGCTTCACTTGACGTCTTGGGCAAAAGTCAACTCTGTACTGCTGCCTCATGCCAGCTGAGTAGTGATCGGTCACTCTGCAGCTCACTTCATACACACCTAACAGAGGAATGAAAAGAGGTAAAGGTAAGCTAAGGTAGGGTTAGGTAAGGTAATCTAAGGTAGGGTTAGGTAAGGTAATCTAAGGTAGGGTAGGGTTAGGTAAGAAGCAACTAAAAAACTGCTTTAATAATCATTTGTCTGATACTGTATAATTTCTGAAAGTGGCATCTGCATCTCCTTCAATAAAAAAAGGGATTATCCTGTTTTATTGTGTTACGTCCTATAGCATTGTATCATATCATATCTTGTTGTGTTGTATATTGTCTTGTTTTGGGTAGTTTTACACCTAGTTTTTGTGGGAAAAACAAATCAGACAAATAATTATTATAAGCCGATTTTCTAAAGAACACTTTAACATTCAGCAGATTATACTGTTGAATTTACAGCATCCACGATGACACGTTGACTCTGTTTCTGTCTTTGGATTTGTCTTTGAGGTTTGCGAAAGCAGACGTCATTCAAATGGGAGAAAGAAAACTCCACCAACCAAAACAGCCAACAATCCATAAATCATATAAATGAAACAGAAAGCTTTGATGAGTCCTGTTTGCATAGTGGTTATTGATTGATGATTGCTGTTGTTAATGTTGGGTTTGGTGTGGCAGTCAGAGGACACATGACATACAGTATGAAGGAGAAAAAGACGTGTGCTTTGAGTGAATGTGAAGAGTAATATGACTGACCAGGGGTGTCGGGCTGCATGAAAACACTGGCAGTGGTGTGAGGGAACAGGCTGACAGTGTCACGTGTTGTGCTCTGCTTCTTGAAGGTGTTCCCTTCAAAGTAAACACCGTGGATGTCCACCTCTGTGCCCAGCCCGAAGGTGTACCACCAAACTTTGTCCCCGGCGCACATCTCAAGTCCGGCAAGGTTCCCATACATGCGTCCATTGACAGCTTAAAATGATCGAGAAGATTTAAACAGGAAAACACAAAGAAAAACTAGGAACTGTACTATGGTACTAATAGTATGAGAGCTACTAAAAGTAATATTTAAATTAGATAAAACTACACACTGATTACCATGCATCTTATTGCTCTCGACGAAGTCCTCATCGTCTACATTTGTCTCCTTGATGCCAAATTTCTGAATATTCTTTTCTAAATACCAGCTCATGTTTTCATCCATGACAGAAAAGAGCAGGAAGAACTCCTTGTCCACATCTCTCTATGAAGCAACACACATAGAGGGGTCATAAGAACACTGACGCAGCTGCAGGTAACAGCACGAAAACTAAAAATGCATCAAGATGTTATAGACTCTTATATACATCTTTGAACATGCAAACATCAATGATTAAATGTCTTCTCAGCATTTTATTCTCAGCCTCATTATCTTATCTGCAAAGGCACAAAACTCGGTGGCCATAAGGTGACAACGGTCGAATCACAAATCCCAAACAACAAATAAGAAAACACAACTACAAATCCCATAACATAACAGCATTAACAGAAAAGGTGGGTACCTACTATTGACAAGGCTCATCACTGATTGGACAGATGCACTGTCTATTTTTTTAACGGGAAAGAAATGCTGAAAAAATGTGTTTGGTTTATTTATTGTTGCGTTTTGTGTTGTGCCTTCGTGTTTGATCGCCTGACAAGGATGATTAAAGTTATGTTTAATCTCAGTCACGCTGTAACAATTATTCCATTAATCAACCCTTGGATTAAGGAAAATAAATAAGCACCTGGGTTCCATTCTCCATCAGCGCTCCTTTCTTACACACGAGCAGAGGTCCCACGAGCCCAGAGTTGGTGTCTGTTGCGGGATCAGTGGCAGAGTAGTACAGGTAGGGGATGCAGGGGGAATCAGATGGAGACGGACCCTCGAGGACCTGCCAGGTGTAGATGAAGCTCTCGCCTGGGCCAACGTGGGAGCCAGGCTTGTCAACACCTACAGTATAAAAAAGACCTGCCATTATCGGATCTGGTATTACTTCCCAATCATAGTTTGTGTCTATGAATTGAGGCTGGTAACAGTTTCCATTTTTAAATTTGTGGTTTTCTGAGATTCAAACATATTCCATTGCAACACAGCTTGTGAATTACTTTATTTTCTGGTTCTTTTTGAGTTTTCTAAAAGTATTAGTCTAGCCCTCATTAGAGGCACAGAAAGGGAAATTTAATCCAGTCTTAAAGTAGTATTCAAATTCAATGTATGCCTCTGTCAGTCTGAACTGTTCAAGTATTGGCTGCGGCATCATTTTAATTGATCCACTCCCCTTGTTATCACTCAATTTGAGTCCTGATATCTCACAATTATATCACAGTTTTTGGTTGTGCAAATAATCTGTGGCTGCCTCCTCACCGTCCTCATAGCTGCTTCCCTGGGAGAGTTTGTCATAGTGCACGCCGTGAGGCTGGATGCTGTACGTTCTATCAGCCTTGTTCATGAACGTCACTCTGATAGTGTCTCCTTCCTCTGCCCTCAGGACTGGACCTGGACAAGTAGAAGAAAAAGAACACTGAAACTAGACGAACCAGAAGAAAGCGAGATAGAGCGCTAAAGACGAGCAGGGATCTGTTTTTGCCAAATCTGGAACGCCTTACCAAGGATTCCTAAATGTCCAGGATCAGGTGATTTTACAACGGTGAAGGTATTGTCTGTGTACTCTTTGTAGATCACTTTCATGTATTGACCGCCGATCCTCCCACCATCTCTGCCAAAAAACATCTCTGATGCTCTAAGAGAGAGACAGAGGGAGGGGAGAGACAGAGGGAGGGGAGAGACAGAGAAGAGGCAACACCAGTAGAAATGAATGTTTGGTATGCACGAACCAGCAGCGCGACAGTGGACCTGAATAGAATAAACATGTCTCCAGTCAGAGGGGTTTCACTGTGTCAGGTCAGGGAACTGTAACATAAACAACTGTGTCACTATCTGATAGGATATTCCCCTGAGCAGGACTTTAGAATGACTCTATGGACTTTTTGATGCTCTCTATTTAGACTGAGTTTGGATTAGTAATTCGTAAAACTGTCTTTGTCCTGTTTGTGCTTCAGTTTGTTTATCCACGTCACTATGCTAGGGAACATTGGTCATTCTCTTTGGTGAAGTCTGCGGGAGAGCCCTCAGGCACCTGAAGAAGTCACAGTGGGACAGCTCTGAGTCCTCACTAACTCACAGGGAAATGACCTCAAAGTTTGCGAGTCTTCCAGGGTGGACATTGGGCCTTGCCGTCCTCTTTGACATTTCGACTGCTTTTGTTCCTGTCATGTTTCCTGTATGTTTCTGTGTTTATCCCAAACGCTTGCCTGCCTTAAGTACCTACATTCCTTCTAGCTTGCCTACCTCCCGCCAAAGACTACTAGCCCATTTTTCTTTTCAGCACAGCCTGCCTTGTGCTCTGTTTGCACATCCTGTAAACTCAACATATCACAACAACTATCAACACTGTTTATGCTGGACACCACAAAACCGCCACACCAGGAAGGACCTGCCCACGTATAATCAGCTCTGTTCAGAGGCCATTCACAGACAGATGTCAGACAGACTTTGTTCAGAGGCATTGCAAGCCTTGTAGGGGTATTTCACAAATGAATGAAATGGTGATTATCTATGGAGTCACTTAGCTTCCTTTCTTCCCTCTCCCAAACTATCACACTTGTACTTTCAACATGCGAAACTATCCATCTGTGACATATCAGACTTCTGCTGTCATTATATTTGCATCAGCCTAGCTGTAAAACACAGGTCATTCCATGCTCGGATTCATGTTATTGTTTTATTACAGCTGTAAAGTGATTTACATCTGCATTTGCTTTAGGACTGGATTTTAGGCAGAATGTGAACTGACTGTGATGAACAGAAAAGATGAGGCAATAAAACAAGCACGAACCTGCCCCCTGATAATCTAAATACTCCGGAGAAAGTTTGAATGGATCACTGTGTTTGATGCAGAATTCATGAACTGCATTGGGCTTGATAATGATTCACCCTTTACTCAGCAGTGACCCTGTGTGTTATCATTAATTACAGTAGGTTGAACTCTCCAGTCCAGTGTGTTGCTCATGTCTGCCCACCTGTCAGCCTCAGTGAGGGACACGTTGTTGATCAGGTCCTTTTCAGAGGGAGCATAGTTCCATAGGACCATTTCTGCTGCCAGGTAGAAATTCCTCACAATCCCACCCGTCGCTGCAGCGCTGGCCTCACTGCCACATGACTTCACTTCATAAAAGGCCTGCATCCCAGCTGCAACAGATAAAGAGACGTGCACAAACATATCACACAGACCAACTCTGGAGGTTCAGATTCAAGGGTACATCAATAAGAAATACCCCAAGGTTCGGTTTACACACTTAATGTCCTTATCTTGTAGCTGTCATTATATTAAATAGATCTCAAGATCTGAAATATGCAAAACTATCAGAGGTGTGGCTTGTAGGGTAAATAACACTTTCTTTGAAAAACACAGGAATAAGAATAAAACATTATGTAAAGCCTGGTATGATATAAAGGAATTGTATTTCCCAATTATTCATAGTATGTTCACTGCAAATAAGACTCATTCATATCCTTGATTGATAGACTTTGGTCCTAACGTCTTTTGAAATACAAGCTTTAAGTCTCGTTAGAACACACACCGACATAATGGCCGTGACTAAACCTCACAAAAATGCATTCTCCTCCTGTCAGCAACTTATTAAGTCTTGGTGCAAAGAGTCGAAAGGTCAGGTGCCCTACCCTGCAGGTGGTCATTAACCTGGCAGGTCAGCAGCCACTTCCCTCTTGCTCTCGGGAACATCTCAGCGGTAGCAAACGTGGCGGGGAACAGGCTGAGGACGTCTGTGCGGTGGCCGCGATCGAGCAGTGTGTTCCCATGAAAAAAGGCGGAGTGAATGTCCACCTCGTTGCCCATGCCAAACAAATGCCAGGCTACTGCACGGTTCTGGCACAATTTGATCCCGGGCAAGTTACCAAACATGTAGCCGTTAATGGCTGTCACACAGGGAAACACACAGAGCAAGGTCAGGGGATAGGACAAAGAGACCTTATTTTACAGCATAAGTTGAAGAAATAAGTGAAAATTAGGTTTGAGATCGTATTTAAAAGACACACCATGCATCATGTTTGATTCCTCAAAGTCTTCATCCTCTATGACTCCTGCTGGATCTGAGAGGCTTTGAATGTTGTCCTTCAGGTACCAGCTCAGGTTCTCATCCACTATGTTGAACATCAAGAAGACGTCCTGGTCCACATCATTGCGGGCTGAATCTGTGATGGATTCCGGCTTTGTCTCCTTCAAGATTCCTGCGAGCATAAAAAATGATTATGTTGTTTTATCCAGTTTGAGTTTACAGATGTCACTGTGTATGGGTGTTGTTGTGTGTGTGTGTAAGTGTTTGTGTCTGATAAGGGTACAGGTAAGCAGGCAAGAGAGATAGAAGAGTCAGGAGGGGCTGAATCAAGGTTCATATTTATAATATATATAAACATATTGACATATGGTCACTGAGGAGCGTAAAAATAAGTCTGGTTCAGGGTGACTTGTAGTGGGACCTTATTATGAGACCCAAGATGCATTTGTGTTCACACAGTGAGATGAAGGTGACCACATGTGCCCAGTGCTTTGACCATTTGTGATGGGATTACCCAGGATTGATATTAATATAAGGTCTGAACATAAATGCGGCAAAATGCAGGACAGGGTTAAAATACTACACATTCAAGTAGCCTAGCACTTTATTCACCTCTGGTTTCCAACCATCTTTTTTTAGACAGGTTTGAAAAGGGCCTTAGTCACTGTAACTATGACTAAGGAAAACCGAAATCATTTTCATTTGACATACAGACTTTCTTCTGAAGTAAAACCAACGGTAAATAGCATGTAATCACCTCTTTATATACAGTCTATGGTAATCACATATCTTCAAACCTTTCTTGCAGGTGAGCAGAGCCCCGATAAGTCCAGAGGTGATGTCCTTAGGAGCATCTACGTGAGAGTGGTATACCCAGGTTAGGCAGTTAGCATCATCATCCGTAGGGGCAAATTCTGGCCTGACCTCCCAGCGGTAGGTGTAGCTGCCTCCCGGAGGAACGGAGTCATCCATCTTCAACCTGCTTGACGTCCCATCTGGATAGAGCGCCCCTGGTGGGAAAGTACGAGATGTTTATGTTCAGATTTTTCTGTTATGAAAGGCAGGTCTACCGCTCTGATTTCTCAGTTCGGCAGTAGAACAACAACTAAATGGTAAGGGTTGGGGTTTAAAACGGGGTATGAAAGGATTTAGAAAATACTATGCCTGAATCTAATTATTCTAATAATAATGATATTCTTCAATTGTTCAGATTTTCAAATCATGTTCATATCCACTTCTTCTCTGGGTCTTATCTCTGTTCAGCTTTCAGCCTTCACGTGTGTGATTTACAGACACATAAACACCTTAGTCTTAGTCATGGGTCCACTGACCTCTGTACCGATATGTAGTCATCACAAGACATAATTAAGGAGACACTTATCTGATTTCAAAGTTTTAAGTGTGTCTCCACCACTGTCCCCTTCCGTATCAATAGCCCCACACCTCTCTCCCTTCTTGTGCAATGTGCTCTTTATTTATTTATAGACAAACTAAGGCACCATGGGCCCTCTGCCCACATTCTGTTGTCAGAGGAATTTCCAAATTTTACTTTCAGTTTCGAATTCCTGCAAAAACCATGTCTGCGCTCAGATGGGTGGGGGATGGGGCTTTGTTACATAACAACAAGCTGCAAAGCTCAGAACACTTGAGAGACATTTTGACAAGAGGCCACATGTTCCATGTTGGTCATTGTTATTGCAGTTGCTTTTTCACTTCCTGAACTCTTACATGTGATCAGACATTATGTCTCTCATTTGCTTGTCCATTTTCTTTTCTGCCTCTCAGTATCTTATCTTATCAGAGACAGCATTGGCACTAAAGCAGAGGGAAACATACCAATATGGCTCATGAACTGCATTATATTATTAAAACTAAGGGCATTCCTCACCATATGAAAACACATTTAAGCATATCTAGATCTGTATTTTTTACAGTATTTGGATGTGCAAACATACATTTACTGTATTATATTGTGTAACACTCTACCCTCTGTATTCTTCTCATAGAAGACTCCATGGGGATGCATAGAAKAATTTCTGGATGCGAAGTTCTTCAGATGGACCAGGATAACGTCATCCACCTCCGCACGCAGTATGGGCCCCAGGAAGCCCAACCAATCAGGCCGGGGAGCCTGTACACTGTATGAATCGTCTGTGTACTGCCGGAACATGGCCTTCTTATAAACGCTGCCTATTCGGTGGGGTCCTTTTTCCAGGAACTCACATGCATGCCTGAGATTGAGACAAAAAACATGGGCAATACAGATACAGCAGAGGTTTCACACATAGAGGAGCGTGTGTGGGAGAAAGGAGTGGCAACAAATCCTGTTTCTGTTTGCACATCTTAAAGTATTATGTGGTATTCTCAAAACAGGATTGCACGATGACACATTTGACATTTCTATCTCCGTGTCATGATACAGACATGTTTTTCCAAAAAGCACAGATATCTATCAGGAATGTTCATGCACAAGGAGAAACACAACATCCATTAGGGGTAGCTTATATATATATGCATAAAGCGTCACAGCAATGTAACTGCCTACCTTATGTCAAGATACAAACTGCATGCCTGTGACCAACTATACAACTGTATATAAGTAATATAAAAAACCTGTATAAAAGTTAGTGAAGTATAAATATAACAAAATGTGTGATACCACTGTGGTGCACTTTCACAAAAGGCTCTGATTACCTCCTCTGAGAAGGATACTTTTCACTGCTGTCAGTTGTTTTTTGTCTTTGTTTGTGAGCAGGAATAAGCAAAAAAATGATTTCTAAGAAACTCGATGGAAGGATTGGACACAGGCCTAGGAAGAACTCATTACATTTTGGAGCAAAACTGGGAGAAGATTTTTTTTTTGTCACATCTACAATTTTCTATCTTGAGTTTTAAAAATCAATGTTATTTCGGAAATTCTTTCCTGTCTTTGTCCATTACCAATGAAATATCATGAGAGCAGGTCACAAAGCTCCTAATACTATAATGCTGCAGAACAAATTGTATCTCTCTGGACTTGTCACTATTGTGATTACATGTTTCTCTTAGTTAATGACCCGTTACGGGGGCTGCGGCAAACACATTTTTGCTATTGCACATCCAGCACATTGCCAAGACAACAAGGAGGATGGAAAGCATAATGTTAACTCGATCCATGCATGGGTCATACTTTGCTGTCAATCTAAAAGGGTTTTTCACTAAACCCCTGGATGGAGACATTTTGTGCTCATGAGCAATCAACCCTTCACAGGAGTGAGTCAGGAAAAGTCCAGCATTACGCAAGGATGTAAAGCTTAAGTTGCTTCAAATGTTCTCTCTGAGAAGAGCAGGTAAACTGGAATCATAGCGCGATTAGAAAAATCCTGATTGTGATTGAAAGAGGGCTGTTTTTAAAAGTCTGTGAAAAGAAGCCTTGTCATCTCTTCTTTACAAATTACATTTTCCATCTGAATCCATTATGTTCCTTGAATAACAGGAAAATCAAATCAGTGCATAATGCTGTGTGTTTTCCAAAGTGATCTGAGAGTCTTTTAAACTAGCGATCATTATGGGGACAACGTCAGGTACCACAATAATCGAGAAAACATCCCTTAATCTGCCAACTGAACTCCCACTTCAAATGATAACACTGTATGTGATTTACAGCCCTGCGGAACACAGCTGCCGGCCACGTTAATAGTATTATTTCTGGGCTCAGCTTTCCATCTAAAACTTAAAGGCAAAGTACATTAAATGTTCCTAATCACCAGGGTGGAGGCATTCAGAAAATCCTCACAAAGTCCAGACTTTGCACCCTTTTACATCTCTCTGCTGATGCACCTACTTTATAAAACGTCACAGTATTGATGTGCGTGATGAAAACTTTTCTCAGATGGGAATCAGATGTTTTTGTGTGTCCTGTTTTAGCTGCTCATCGCAGGAAGGAGAGCATACATTTACTGTTCGTCACCATCCTCTGTAACTGCCAGACGGTCAGTTAAGCACAAAACAATCCCCTGCGATGTCTAGACAAGACGACTTACTGCAGAACTTTTTCGTTTAAACTTATTGTAATCTCTGTGTTAATAGTAGGGATCTTTCAGCACTTACAATCACTTTAGATGTGTCAGTAATACCAACACCTCACATGTCAATTTAATGTGTATGATTAAATGGATAGATGATAACACAAATTGATTTACTTGGCATAACTACAAAAAAGCAGGCTTGTAGAGAAACTTATAATGATGCTATGAGACTATTACACATGAGACTGATATGATGTAGTGCGAGTGAAATGGTTGTTGCTGCAGGAGTCTATACTTTCCAATCTGTCCAAAGAAATCTCATTTGTACATTTAATTGCAGCTCTGAAAATGAAATAATCTGTTTTATGAAAAAATATAGTTCTATTGTACATTACCAAGCCCGGCTGGTATAGTTGTTAATGAATATTGCATATGTTCATAATAATGAATCACATTTTCTTCTGCATTGCCTATAACAAGGTTATTAAAGTAATGTCAGTTATACCGATATGGGAGGATTATGAATGTAGTATTACAATTAAGTATAGTATAGTATAGTTTAATGCAGTACAATATAGTAAAGTAGGTTATATCATATAGTATAGTATAGCAGCCTATGGTACAGTATTTACTATTTTATGATACAGGGCATGACACAATAATCTAAAACATTCAATCACTCAATCATATGTTTATATAAATCTTTTTGGTGCCTTTGGTTGTATTTTATTCTATGTGATTGCAGTGTCTTTTATCTGGGCCCTGAATCTGAATAATAAAATCCGCGTCATATTATTGATTCGCAACTCACTCGTCATCTTTGACGTTTTCCCCGTTGAGCAGATTTTGGCCACTTGGAGCATAGTCCCACGCGTCTTCAATGATCCCCACATAGTAAACTCTGTGCCGGCTGCGCGTCCCTTCCGCCCCGGAAGAGATGAGCGACAACATCAACAACAAACAACCCGCAAACAGCCTCACAGTCTGCGCCATGATCCAGAGGGTCGATCCTCTTACTGGTCCCGGGGCAGAGCTGCGCAGAAGGTCTGGGAAGTGGAGAGCACCAGTGTCTCCTCCATGTACGCACACAGCCTGACTGCTGCTGCTGCTGCTGCTGCTGCCGCTGCTTCAGTTCTTATGAAAGTGTGCAAAGGGGAAACACAGTTGGTCTATTCAGCGGGAGTGAGCACCTCCTTCTCTTCAGCCCCCTCCTCCCGTGGTATCTATCATCAGATGATGATAATAACCACTCAATGTTCTCCCGTTAATTACCAATGATTGAAATTTCCTACTGGGAAATGAAGGTAATTAATCTACTTATACTGAAATGCAGACTCAAGCAGCGTGGGTCGTCTCGATTGGCTGTCAATTTTCCAACAGGTGATGAATAAGCATGTTTCTCAGCTGGTGTGTGTGCACTTAAGATAACTCTGTGGGGATAATAATGACAGACTGCAATCTAAAAAAATAGTATCGCCTGCAATTATGATGACGTTCTCATATGATTATTAAAAACATGGTAGATTAAAGATTATGGTAACGGCAAAGAAAAGCTGAATCATCCCAAAGAGGAAGTGGCTTTAACGCTTGTAAACCATTGATAGGAACGACTTGGTTGCCAGGTTGAGAAAAATCCATCTTTGATTATAAATGTTGTTATACCATTATTAAATAAAACGTTTTTGTAGTTATCACACTTTCTAGATTCAGTGTCCTGTTGAAGGATGAGGCAGCTTCTAGTGGACTTTATGCAACCTAGCAACCAAAAAGTTGCCATTATTACTGGAGTTATTTAATGCTGAATAGAATAATTGGTGATAGCTTAAAAAACAAGTACAATACAGTTGCTTTCTGTTACTCTTTTTGCTTTGTTACTCTTGTTATTTCTTGTTAAAACGTTCAACCCAGCATCTAAGAAGTGCAGAACCTGACACCTGCTGACCAACACCGAGCAGTGCAACAGTAGAGATCAAGCTGGGTGATCCTCTCTGAGCTTCCTTTTTCTCACAATCCCCCCGAATCAGTCAATGGCTCAGTGGTGATACGATGCAAAAAAAACCACTGTGTACTGGTTATACTGGAATTAAACTCTCTATTACTCTGCTATGTGCTTGTAGGTCAACAGGGTCAATCCCTCCACTCAGGTAATGATTATGTTGTCTTTTGTGTTGTGGCTCCATTGTGACCCCTGGAATCCAAGCCTGTAGAAACAGGGCTGTTTCAAGGGACTTTGAGTGCCCCAGGCTAAAGGGATCTGCAGGGGGCTCTACACAATTGTGGTTGTTGACAAATGTAATCAGCCATTCTCAGGGGCCCCCTGTCAGTTCGGGGTAACCCCCCTGCTTTGTCCTACACCTGAGTGCGAAATAATACACTGTTCCACAAGAGCACCCATGCTCTCATGTCATTTTCAAGGATTTGGATGCTATCCTCAGGCATGTGCCAAATTTGTTGTGTAAGCATCTCAACAATCATACTGAATATGAATAAAAGAAACAAAACCAGCTGCTGTGTACATTCACACAATCCACACGTCTCCCTGCAGTGTTAACATGTTGTGACACATTAAGCCTAACTTCAGATTGAGAGGTTTACGTATAAAGAAGTTCTAAAAATAAACATTTTACATGTTGTTTCACAGCATAATCTTTATAATTCTGGTTTCAATGAAAGTACTCCGTCTCTTCAGTATAAACCTTTAGAGCAGTTTTTTGCAGAAACAAAGCATTTTGATAGCTAAATCCAATTTCTTAGACTAAATTTAAGAATTAAATTCAAGCAAAATATCACAAAACTGATTTTGAACAATTATTAGTGACAATATATATAAATGAATCGGATATAAGGATATAAATGCATTCTACATTTTTTTATGACCAAAACCTTTGGACAGATTAGGACTCTCACTCTCTTATAGAGGGGCTCTGTCTATGCATTTCAACCTTGAAGATTAAGATTAAGATTCCTTTTTATTGTCCCACACAATGCACACACAGCACTACATGCAACATGGGGAAATTTGACCGGCCACCCTCCGGTTCCCAAGCCAAGTCTCTATGGACTGAGCTACTGCCTCCCCTCATGTTGTTTGTGACTGTGTTAAACCCTCTTTATATACAGTCTATGGTTAAACCAGACGATGGGGCCCGTGAGTATCTATTCAACTTTATTATTCAATATGCAACATTTTCAGCATTTATCTTTGACCTTAAATCAGCACTTAAGTCACTAAGTAACTAAAGGAGAATTAAGATGGTGAATATCTACATTATTATTATTATTTAATGTATACATGATGATATGTGTGTGAGTGTGCACATGTGTGCTTTACATGTGCTGTCATTGTGACCTGATTTCTGTGTATATATTTGTTTTTTTAAATAAAAGAAAGACAATGTAATTTATAAGCTTTAACTAAGAACTAACTTGTTATATATATATATACGGTTTGTTTATAAATTTAATCACATAAATAAAAGTACTTCTAAGTTTGGGGAACAGCTTTCTGTTCCCACCACACATCAAATTACTTCTGTTGATAGTTTTAAGAGTGATCTGCTTTTAATTAATTTGACCTTTTTTTTTAAACACCATTGTTTTTTATTTTGTACTTATTTTTATACCATTTGCTAGTTTTATGCTTCTATCCTAAGTCTTTGTTTGTGTTCTTATTGATCCATCTTATTTCATGTCTTTGATTGTATTGTTAAGCACTTCAAGCTACATTTTATCTATGAAAGGTGCTGTATAAATAAAACGCATTGTTATTATTGTTATTATCCTCATCACTATAAATCATTGCAGATAAAATACTTTTCATTAGGAGTGGAGTTTTGAACACTGGATCAGATTTACTCCAAAGTAACCTTTTTACTTCCAGCGCCGTGCGCGTTCACAGCGGTTTTGCGTGGTGTCGCCGGCCTGGGCGTGAACGCGCACGCTGTGTGTACTGGGTGTTGTGGTCAGTGTTCAGATCTGCAGTCATGGGCGCTCTGAGCAAGATACCACACAACTGCTACGAGATCGGGCACACATGGAGCCCGTCGTGTGCACAGGCTGCCGTGGATATAACCCGAGGGGCCCTGGAGGTGTCCTTCAAAATATACGCTCCTCTCTACCTGGTAGGTTTCCCCCGCTCTTCTGAGACTTGTGCACTCTGGGGCTAAACTTAGCCAGCTAGCCAAGTAATGCTAACTAGCTCTGATAAAACGTCATGAAGATTAGCTGCGGTGTCAACTAGCTTTCAGTCGGGGACTCACCGCAACTGTAGACTCGAGGGTTTCAGGTTGCTCTGACCAACAATTCATCCAGAACACAAGGAGCCTCAAGATGACTTTCTGCAGACTTCCAGAGAGAGTCCGCCTGGGTGCAGACTTCCAGAGAGAGTCCGCCTGGGTGCATACTTCCAGAGAGAGTCCGCCTGGGTTTATACTTCCAGAGAGAGTCCGCCTGGGTTCATACTTCCAGAGAGAGTCCGCCTGGGTGCATACATAACATATTTTAAAAACTGGACAGTCTACATTTACACATGCAGGTCACAGAGATGCAGCGTGTAGATATGGACAGCGAAGTGTTTGTCAGAATCAAAAACTCTAAAGGAGTAAAGCACTTTTTAGTTTAAATTGGTTTGACAGCAAAGCAAGACAATTAAATAAAAACTTGAACACATACAAGCAGTATGTAAGTATATGGCAGTATATTACAACATCACAGCAAAGCAAGTCTATAGAAGTGGGTTTTAAATAGTGATTTAAAAGTTATCTCCTCAGTTAGGCCGAGGGGCCCTGATGGTAAAAGCATGGTCACCTTTAGTTTCCAACCTTGACTTTGGAACAGCAAGCAGGGATCCGCTTGAGGATCTAAGGCTGTGTGCAGGGCTGGAGGCACATAAGGGAACAATAATTCTGTGATGTAGCTTAGGGCCAGACCCTGGTGTGCTCTTAAAGTGATCAGTAAAATCTTTAAAACATGCAAACCAATCTCTCGACAAGACTTTCATAAAGAGAAAGGCTTTTCAGGACGAAATCTAAAAGCAGCTGTGTCAGGCAGCATCAGCTGACTCCACATTATTAACCAAAGTAACTGCTTTATTCCACTTTTCATGGCCAGTTGCTTGAATTAGTGTCCAGATGTGACAGCAGTCGTTTGTTCTTGCATGGTACAGAAATGCACAGTTTGACTTTGTCCTGGAACAAGGAACTCCTTCACAAATTCCCCTTCTCCATGAGCTTTCAGTTCCTGAACTTTTACATTTTGTCTCTTCTATCTCTTGAAAAGCCATGATGCGATGAATGAAACAGAGATTCTGAGCCAGGTTCAAAGTTGTGTTTGTTCAAGGACTACTAACATATCTCTTCATTAAGTTTTTATACTATTCCCAGTGAGAAATTATCCATTTAGATGAAAATGTTGTCATTTTAATCAAATTAGGCATATTTGAAAATGTATAGGAGACGAGCTGCTCATAAACCCTTTATCAATTTACCTCTGTTGTCTATAGCTTTTGAAAACATAAAAACTAAAGAAATATAATAATAAACTAATGAAGAAGTCGATCAACACAAGCATGGTCACCACCTTCAAGTGTGAAACATTTTCCCAGGTTGACATAAACAGGATGTTCAATAGGAACTGGCTATTTAGGAATTCCTCCTGGAGCAAAATGTGACTTCTTTCACAGAGGTGTGCTATTGTCAGTATTAATAGGAACATTCAGTGTGTTCTGAAGAGCTCAAAGGTACATCCCGAAGCTGTTGTCTGTGTTATGTATTGTAGCTCATGTACACATCATTGAGAGTGAGAGGGTTTTTTTACCTCGGGAATCAGATATGATTTTGACGAGTTGGTTTTTCTAGCATTCAGCATGAATTCTTGTGTGTGACAGTAAATATAAAGCAGGTCAACAGCTTGGGGGCAGAAGCTGTTCTAAAGTCTGTTCATATCCTACAGAACCAGATTAAAACACAATATTGACTGACACTGTTACTAGCTTCTTCTCATAGAGCAATCCTTCAGTGATGGGAGCCTGTAACAACTATGCAGTGTAATAATAACTGCTATGGAATTTTCATAGACACTGTCTCTTGTCCTCTCTGGGGCATAGTGCAACAGGCTGTTGTGTTTGGGAAGTGCGAGAGCTTGGCGAACATCAAAGCCTTCACTCCCTAGACATCACAGATATGAGACTCCGTAAGCAGGCTAAGCTGGAACAAGGAACAAGCACACCCATAGATTAAATGATCTGTTTGGGTTTAAAGTGTGAATACTTCAGAATATGAGAGAGCATCATGCACAGTATGGATGAATTCTGATTTTCTCCTTGGCCAAGCTTCAATAAATATTTCAGCATAAGACGTCAAAGGGCTCCTGAACGCTTCCTTCACTGATGAGTTGACCATTAATCAGCAGATTTTCCACAACAATAATGTATTGGAAACCACCAAATCAGCTTTTTGCTGTTTGCTTTCAGCTTTCAAAGCATCATCCATTCAAGGAGGGGATTTAATACATTAAAACAGCTGTCAAGTTTTCTAAAGCTTTGATTTGGAAATAAAATATGAAAACCAGTAATTCTTCCACTCTGCTTTATGTTTCACAGATTGCAGCGGTTCTTAGGAGAAGGAAGAAGGACTACTATTTAAAAAGGCTTCTCCCTGAGATCCTGTGGTCTACCTCTTTCCTTACTGCCAATGGAGGTCTCTACATTGTTTTCTTCTGCATCCTCAGGTTAGTGCATCCAACTTATGTCACATAGATACAAACTGTCACACAGCTCAGCTTAGATGAACAGACGGGGAACTTAAGGGTTTGGAAATCAAACTAGAGTTCAACAGAGTTGAACTTCCGCTTCGTGCTTTTGAGAATATTGTTGTTCACAGTAAGTTGGTGTTGAGGTTTAAATCTGAAAGTTTTATCTCAGCAGATCTGAGTGGAAGTGTGAGAAGGAAGTGCCTAGTGTTGTGTAAGTGTGTGTCTGATTCTGAGCAGGGCTGGAAACTACCCAAGCTCAACCAGCGAGAAGAAACAGTCTGTAGTGAAGTGAACCTGTCTTCTTTGCAAAAAGATCAGAAGATATTTGTGACCTGAAACATTCGATAATGAACAGACCTGCGCAGACAGACAGGCTTGTACAGAGTAGCAGGATGCACAGTTCTATTACAGTCTTCAATCTTAAAGACAAGAACGCATGACCAGTGCATGCATCCATTTCTACGCAGCTAAACTTTTCACCATTTCATGGTGAACCTGGTGTTTACATGGCGTGGCGACCACAGAAGGTTTTAGCTCATCTGCTAAGCAACACTTGTATCTTGAATGAAGGTTTCTTCTGCATAACTAATGATCCAAACCACAGTGGTGACACCTACAGATATTTAACCATGGAGACATTTTTGGTGAGATAAGATAAAGGAAAAGACTGAGATTTGAAAAAAGTAAATAACATTTCATTTTCCAACTTTAGGAAACTGTTGGGAGGGTTCCACTCATGGTCTGCTGGGTTTGGCTCGGCACTGCCTGCCTCCTACATCGCTATCCTCTTGGAGCGCAAGAGCAGGTGAGATTCCAGGTTTATTTTTATCTGCTTTTATGAATATTTGAAAGTCTTCTCATAGAACACATTTACCAGGTCCAGCAATGCACAGAAAAGGCACCTTTTATTTTGGGTTGTAATTAAATTGTTGGATACATCTCAGTAGCGGGGATGTCCTTGTAAATATTGATTCGGCTTTTTATTAGCAAACTATGTCTCACTCTTTTTCCCTGTCACCAGGAGAGGGCTGCTGACAATATACATGACAAATCTCGTAAGAGCTGCTCTTTTCCTTTCAACATTATCTGTTTTACATAAACTGATACATTTGCTTCTGCCACATAGTGCATTTGTAGTATTTGTTGTGTAATTTTGTTTTTAGGCCACTGAGACGTTGTTCCGCATGGCCGTAACACGAGGCATCGTCAAACCCATCAGACATGGCGAGGTAAGATCAAAGTGAAGGCAGCTAATATTGGGGGTTGGGGCTTCATCAGCTTCAAAACCCACCCACTACTAAACAAAGAACGCCTGCAACTCTACATGTCCACATCTTACTTTGCCTCTTACAATCACAGCAGTGTGATGATCCTAATAGTCTCAAAAAATGTTCTTGCTTACAGTATTTATTCAAACCAGATAATTGCAAACGTAGGCATTTAACAGCAGAAAAAATGAATAAACAATGGTCTGATGAAGGCCCACAGACTGTAGCCTTGTTCAAGGTCAAACCGAACAAAGGCTCCAAACACAGACGGCTCAGCGAAACAAAAAGTGCATTCAACAAGAAACCCAGAAAGACATTTCTAAACAAACACTGACGAACCACTCTTCAGAACGACAGGAGTCACACTTCAGGAGTGTGTTTGTCTGTGTGGGGGGGTGTTATTATACATTTTTAACGTTTTAAGTGATATCAACTGCCATGTGAATTAGCGCCCCCTCTTGACAAAAGGACTTGCAATGTGCTGTTAGTTTTGTTTCATACATTAATCTCGGATGTGTAGAAACATACCAATGTGTCAGTACAGAATATGAAGTGAGTTGTATCAGCTGTCAGATTTTTATGAAATAACTTTTGAATTCTATAGTTTCACCCTCAACATGTCATCAACTTCACTGTCATCTTTTCCTATTGTTTGACAGCTTGATCAACAACTCTAGTGTCGATAATTGTACATTTATTTATAGTGGCTATATTCTCACCAGATTGTATAATGATGGTGTCACATGACCAGATGTTTCACCTGTTGATCTGATTTCCTCTTTCTCTCTCTCTGTTTCCCATTAGGTGCTGTTGTTCTGCATAACTGCGTCACTCTTCATGTTCTTCTTCAGGTCAGCGCAGCACAGTGCACATATTATTACACTTAAAGATGCAGCATTGCTTCCTTACGAATATCAAGACCAAATGTTTGGTGTTTAACGTGTTAAATCTTGTGTTTTGTTCTGCAGGAGTAAAGATGGTCTCAAAGGCTTTGCATTCTCTGCACTGAAGTAAGTTCGAGTTAAGTCTCTACACGCACAGATGCCTTGATTTAGATTGTTGTCGGTTTTTGCTCAAGATCAGATGCATTTTCTGTCACAGGTTCATCATTGGGAAAGAAGAGATTCCAACTCACCCTGTCACGGCAGAACTTGCTGGCACACGACCCCTTGAGAGGACAGCCGCTATAGAGACGGAGGGTTCACAACCATCAGCTGGAAGGCCCAGCTCCAGGAGGAAAACTCTGGTGGCCTACACCAGGGAGCTGCTAGAGTCAATGTGAGAGAACACAGACACATATGGGTTTGAGCAGAGTGGTGGTCAATACTGACTTATTCTTTTTTTTTTTATAATCCAGATGCAAACATGGTCCAAGACACAGATGTTGTAAACATTACCAAGACAACTGCATTTCATACTGTCTTAAGGTAAGACACTTCTAACCAAGATCAAACTTTGAGTTTTTTTCTCATCCATGTGATAATGGCATTAAAATATATTATTATATTAAAAATGACAAAATACTAATCCAAATGTGTTTTCTCTCCTTGTCCAGGGCTTCGTGAGGATGTTCAGTGTTGGCTACCTGATTCAGTGCTGTCTTAAAGTGCCCTCAGCGTTCAGGCAGATGTTCTCCAAACCGTCACGACTCCCCTCTCTCTTCTACAACAAGGAGAACTTCCAGCTCGGGGCATTTCTAGGTTCATTCGTCAGTATCTACAAGGTACATAGGTTCCATATATTATTTTCTATCACATATGTTGTATTATTATCCCTGAAATGTCTCATCATTTCCTAGCTCTGTATTTCTTTATGTGTCATGTGAGTATTGTACTATTCTTTTTTTAAATGAATCTCTCTCTTACTCAGGGAACAAGCTGCTTGCTGCGCTGGCTGCGTAACATTGACGATGAACTCCATGCACTAATAGCAGGTAACTGCCACATACAACTCCTGTAGAGTGATCCTTCTGTGCACTCTGTTTGACAGGCGTCTCTCTCTCTCTCTCTCTCTCTCTCTCTCTTGCAAGGCTTCCTGGCTGGTATCTCCATGTTCTTCTACAAAAGCACATCAATATCCATGTATCTCTTCTCTAAGCTGGTGGAGGTAAAAGAGAATCACGTCTAATCTCAGTGAAAAGAAACACAACAAAATAAATAAATCCCATCTCAAGAATAGAGAAACAGGATTTCATGAATTTCATACAAAATATGATTCACCCTCTTACATAAAAGATGATTCTTACATTAACAGCTAAAATATGAATTGAGAAAACTTGTTAAACACTAAAAGTTCATCATAATCCAGAAATATCTCTTTTCACAAGCATACAAGAACTCAGAATTCAAATGTGTTGAGTATTCAGAAAATATGAACTGTCGTAAAGTGGTGACTGTAAATGTATAAATACATGCAGCAGGCCTGTAATGAGACTCCTCTGCAATATGCTCTTCTTCACTCCAGAGATTTGTAAAGAATGTGATGGAAATGGAAGTAGGGTGGAGGTTAGCTGACTGCCAAAACAACTACCGCAGATGTAACATGTTGCCAAGCATCTCAGCTTATCTAATTGCCTGGTTTATCATTAACAACACATGTACTAATCTCTGTCTTTAGACCATGTACTTCAAGGGCATTGAGGCCGGCCGGTTCCCGTACTTTCCTCATGCAGACACAGTCTTATATGCCATCTCCACTGCTATCTGTTTCCAAGCTGTAAGTAATCTGTGCACAAACATACAGATCTGCTCAATAATACACCTGGTTTTGTCTGAGGAAAGATATAATGTTTGACTCATTATTGTCACACAGGCTGTGATGGAAGTGCAGAACCTCAGACCCTCGTACTGGAAGTTCCTGCTGCGTTTAACTAAGGGCAGGTATGAATGTGCTGTTGTCAAACAATGCATTATAATTTATCATTCCTATGTCATTCAAAAATAAAAATACAGGACAACAATATCAACAACAATCATCATGCTCAGAGTTGCTGTTCCTACCTGACATGGCGTTCACATCAGTTTTCAGAGTTGGGAACACATTTTTCCAATTATTCGCTTATAGGCAATTATAGGCACCACATGTACGCACAAATTAAATGTATCAATGATGCATGAATGTGTGAACATTGTCAGCCACAAACCATCATCATCATCACCACCACCACATCAATCGTTCTTGAAGATGGGACCCACATATCTTACTTTGTTCACTACGTTTAGTTTCAGAGTTGAACAAATTGGTGTTTTAGAATCGGTGATAATTAGAAAATAATAAGTTCACTGTTGAGTTATTTAAAAAAAATTAAATTGTTTCACAGAGAAATACTTTATTTTCTAGTTTAACAAGTACAAAATGTTGCACTCCTCAAATGTTAAAAGGGGCAAGATAGTGAGTCAAATCTGTGATTTTTAACACAGTTTGACCTAAAAACACAATTTTGTGGACTCATCCAATTGTGGTTACATGATTTAAGAGTGTTTTAGCTTTGTATACCGTCAATGTGTTTTAACACAGTTTGCATAAATATATATATAAATAAATCCAATTCTATATTTTGTACTTTCTGTCCATGTTCAGTTGATCTGTTTTAGATCATTTTCTGTCTTTTCTTCAAGGTTTGCTCTCATGAACCGACACCTGTTAGATGTGTTCGGGACTCAAGCCTCCAGGGACTTTAAAGGCTTTGTGCCCAAACTGGACCCTCTATACACCACGATGCTTCCACCTGGAGTCGACATCCAACTGGGATGACTTGGTACCAGGCTCTGGAAAGGAGCTGTGGGGTTACCTCGACAGGAAACGGACAGTTTGCCTGTTCTTTCTGAGCAACTAAAGGTCTTATGACTGCTCAGAAGTAGTGATGTTGTTTTATGAGATGGGATTTACTTTGAAGGGTGTTAAGTCCAAGATCTGTCCAAATCAGGGCGTCGTGGGTATAAGGTGTCTTTCACAAGGTCTTTTACTGATTTGGGTTGTATGTACACAGGTAATTGGTAAAATAAATGAAAAGAAAAAGTTTGGAATTGGATTCACGCTGAAATCAAAATTGACAGGCATGTTAATAGTATCTTAAGTCCTAATGAAAGCCTTAACCTTACAATACAAATAATAATATAATAATAATATTAATGTTCAAGTTGTCAATTTGTATTTGGCAGGTTCTTCTTAGTCTGTTGAGGGTTTGTGCAGGGGCGTAGCAAAGGGGGGGACAAGGCAGGCAATTTCCAGGGGCCCCTAACCTGAGAGGCGGAGCTCTGAGAACAGTTGACTACATTAGTCCACATCAATGATAATTGTGTGGGTCCCTCAAAGTCCTTTGAATCACCCCGGGGTATGGGTGGTGGTAGTAGTGGTAAGAAATAGTATCAGTTCACCCAGATCACAAAAAAATGCAAAATTTGTTTTACTGGAATATAAAAACTATTCCACTTGCAATGCAACAAATTTTATTTTTATCCTTAAATCGTTATGCATCTTCATTTTGGTTAAGTTACCTGAAGTTTGGCAGCGTTGTTATTTGGATGAGCACATGGACGTCAGGTGAAACTCACTAATCCTTTTGCAACGAACACAGTGATGCCTGGTTTTATTTCAGAGTTCAGAGGACAGAATATATGAATGTGAACTTTTTCAAGACAATGGGTGCAACTGTTCAGACATATAATTATGTAGCCTTATCATATACTGTTAGACAATGGGTGATGTATTTAGATTGTGTTCTGTGATGTGAAACAGAGAAGTGTGAAGTCGCTGTTAAACTTCAAGTTTTTATAGTGTAACTGATTTCTTTTCTAATATTTTCTAAACAGCACTTGACAGTAGTAATTTCAATTGGAGTGAATAGTAACGCTCATTAATTTTACCAGTAATTTCACATTCAAGACACGAAAATAGTAAATGTGTCACAGTGTTCCATACTGTGCTCAATCAGTATCAAACCTGATACTTCATAGAGGATACATTTGCCGAATCACAATGTAATGCATTCAAAATTTGAAGATCCATGTAAATTAAACTAAATATTTTGGCAAATATTCAGAAAAACCAAAGTTCTCTATCCTCCACCCAAATTTGAGAAATTAATTTCTTCAGTCAACCTGAACCATCATTTTCATTTTATTCCCTGAAGGTGATTGGGTAAGAAATAACTTCAATATTTAATATGATCTAATAGAAGTCATTAACACAGATTGAATTACATATTTTTTATCACATGAAAAATAAATACATTGTGTTGGCTGTTTGAATTTTGACTGATGCTTACTGGAAATTCTGCAAAAGATAAACTCTGTTGCTTAAAATCAGTTGGTGCTGCAAGGTTTTAGTGTCTGAATTAATGTGGACATTCATGACAGCTTCATTCCAGGTGTGATTTCATTTAATTAGGGGGTAAAGTAGTTAGATTGTTTTAGGAATCTCATATTTCTGACAGTTTTGTGAACTGCCAGTCTGTTTACTTCAGTGTTTTGCCTTCAGTTGTTCAACCCAGCTTTAGACACATCTGACCTCCACACCAGAAGCCATGATTGTGAAGAAAATACAGTGCAACGTTCTTGTTGAGACTGAAGCAGAGGAGTGAGATAATAACAATATATCATATTAAATTATAATAGAACTCTACAAATGTTTTTGATTTATCTAAGAAGGTGTATATTAAAATATTTTTCAAGTCCAAGTGCATGACTTGTTTTTTTTCTTTGCTGAGTTTAATCTTATATGATGATAATGTCAGTTTTCTGTTTTTACCTGTGCAATGACTGGCGCCACCTGGTCATGACATTCTACAGTCCAAAAACATCACATTGTTTAACAATTCGTACAATTCGGATGAAACACACTAGTAAAAACATCACTATGGTTATTTTATATTTAATCTTTGCCAGTAGATCCCTTTCACCCAAATCTTACACTCAACCTTTAACAGTTGGATTTCCATGGAACTTGCTTTGCAAAGGTGAAATCATCATTATCAACGACTCCTGAACTTTCCTCTGATGGTAGCATCAGGTCAGTATTTCCTGTTGTGCACAAGTAATGTAACAGGTAACAATAGCTGTGAAGCAGCAACTGATTCATTAATGGGCCCAAGAATCCTGTTCATGAATCAGTGGACTGCAGTACCTGATTTGTTTGTAGAGGGCAGTGATGAGCGCGCAAGGTTTTGAATTCACTCGAATTGGACCAGAAAGAAGAAACACATAGCGGAAGTATATCTAAAGAGAGTCAAGCGCACACTTCTGGTGATTTCCAATTCAAAATAAAAGTATGTGAATTACCTCGCTTAAATGAAGTTCAAGTGGGATGTTGTTTTAAAATGCTCTATAAAATCTGGCATAATCTAGTCTTGGATGCCTCCATCGATGACTGTTATTAGAATAACACAAATCAGCCGGTCACCCTGCTAAATTATTGTTCAAGTCTCTATTCACACTGTGGTTGTTGTTATGATTCTTTGCAATTCCTGCGTCATTTGAATTTGAACACGAGACTAATTGTGGACATGCAGGAGAAGATTGTTTTCTTAGTGTATCCAAACAGCTTGGGCGTGACGCTTTACTATGAAAGACTCAGACAGGAAGTGATGGTATCCGTGACAAGCCGGTGGTTTTCACTGTGAGTCACTTCCTGTGGTCATTGAAAACACTGTCAACACTGAAAACTACCGAGTTGCTGTAGAAAGTAGAAGAGAAACGCGGATCCATGGGGGGGAAAAACAAACAGAGAACCAAAGGAAATGTTCGGGTGAGTTAACGCACCATCGTCAAGTAAGAGTTAGCAACAGATTAGCTCAAACCCGCCTGAACAAGCTGAGATGAACTTAGCGCCGGGTAGCGAACAACATGTGGCGGTGCTGCCGCAAACTGTTTTGTAACCATCGCCATTATTATTATCATTTTGTGATAACCACACGTTTCTCTCCGGCCGCCAGCCATCGAGTAGCGGCCGAGCTGCTGATGCACTGACCCGAGAAGGTGGTGTCATCCCGGGGTTCGTGGGCTTTGACACGACGGTGACCTCGGAGCTGAGTTACGTCCCCGCGGTCCACGGAGCCGAGGAGATCGACAACCTGGTGGATGCCGACTTCCGCCTGGTGCTCAGGAAACTCTCCAAGAGGGATGTCGTCACCAGATTGAAGGTAAAGAATATCTAACTCAGAGGTTTTCTAGGGGAACTCTGCCTTCTTCCATGCACACGGAGATTCAAATAATGTCAAAATCAAACACAGTTAGTGTCAGTTAAAACGTCTAATGCATCCACTATATCACAACCTGACACGATGAGTTACTTACAGTAATGTCTGAAAGAAACCTGCAAAGTAATGTCTGAAAGAAACCTGCAAAGGAATGTCTATGTGCTGAAATAACCCCTGGTATTTATTTGGTTCAGGCCAATGTTTTGATTATGCTGGGAGAGTGTACAGATAACATGTGTTCTTCTCAGGCATGTGTATTGATAATGTGTGTTCTTCTCAGGCTGTGCAGGACTTTGGGTCCATGTGTCAGGAGCGGGATGCTGCAGAGGTTAAAGGGGTCCTGCCTTACTGGCCAAGGATTTACTGCAAGATATCAGTGGTGAGCTCATCTCACAGTCTCAACATATTTGTAAATATTTTTGTTGTTGTGTGACAATAGGTTTATCCTCGTGGAAACAGTCACTATCCTGAGGAAAGTGTGATATGTTTGAAAAAGAGGTCTGACTAAAACTACACTAAATGGTGACTGCAGTGTGTGTGACAATAAGTCTTCATCATTATTTCTGTCAGGATCATGACCGCCGGATCAGGGAGGCCACACAACAGGCCTTTGAGCAGCTGGTGCTGAAAGTGCGCCGCAGCTTGGCGCCCTTCCTGAAGAGCTTGATGGGCCACTGGATTCTGTCCCAGTGTGACACTTACACACCTGCAGCCTCTACTGCATGCCAGGCCTTCCAGGCTGCGTTCTCACCTACTAAACAGCCCGAGGCTCTCAGCTTCTGCAAAGACGAAATCCTTAATGTGAGTAAGAGCAGTGGCTTTAGTGCAGACACAGGGATGTGAACTTTAATCCGACTGACTGATTTAAATTGTTGTTTTGATACTGCAGGTACTTCAAGATATATTGTTAAAGGAAACAGCAGACACACTGAGTGATCCACAGTAAGTTATAGGTTTAAGTCATTATAGCTTCAGCGTCCATTCCACTCATTGTATATGCACAGTTATAATGAATTCTATCAGCATTTTTGCTCAGGCTCTGGTTCTCCATGTTCTTCAGAAGTGTGACAACAGAGGAGAGGGAAGCCAAATATGTGCGCATGCTGACCAGTTCCCTGCTGGGAGTGAAGAGACTGCTCTCCCTGCTCACTCAGAATGACAGGGAGGCCCTGGAGCAAAGACTAGCACATCTGGTGAACTCTGCAAAGTTCTGGAAGTACAGCAAACACAAGACACCACAGGTACTGGCACCGACTCTGCCGTTAACCAAGTAAATCATGTACCATCACCTGGGTTGGAGGATGTTTCTCTAACTATCACAGTACGTTGCTCCACAGGTCCGAGGGGCTTTTTTCGAGATGGTGTGCGCTCTGTGTGAGTTCACTCCAGCGCTGGTCCAGGCTGAAGCAGCACGACTCTGCCCTGCCGTCCTCCTCAGTATTGATGACACCGATCCTGTCGTGCTGCCTCCTGTGTGGGAAGCCGTTCTTCACGTTGTGTCCAAAGTCCCTGTAAGCTTGTGTTGAAAGGATGATCTCACATAGACAGTGATTCGCATGCCATAATGTTGTCTACCAAATAAAGCAAAAAGGAGTTATCGTCACAAATGTATGGATATTAAAGTTGATGTGTTTAAATTATATATTTATCTTCTGATGTTTCTGTTTCTATCCCAGGATTGCTGGACACATGTGAACGCAAAGAAAGGCTTCCTCCCTAAACTATGGACTCTACTAAAAGAGGGAGGTAAAGGCATGGCTAAAGCTCTCCACCCTAATCTAATGCCGCTCCTCAGCACACTACCCCAACAGGTCACAGATCCAACCTTGGACTTCTACACCACCTTCTTCACATCCCTCACACAAGGGTAATTTATTTTCACATATAAAGGGAAATTCTTTTTGTGTTTAAATGCTTAAATATGTCAAGTGCTTTATTTTTTAATAGTTAATACAGCTAATACAAATATACATTTCATGTTGCAGAATCCTTGAGCCCATTATATGATTTATGACTCCTATTCCCTGTGTTAATATTGTATATTGATTTCAACCGTATTGTCTGTCTTAGCCTTTCAAGTGAGCGTGCAGCAACAAGTCCATCAGAAACTGCAGTTATAGTCAACTCTGTGGTTGAGTGCTTGAAGTACTGCATACTGCACAACACAGAAAAAAAGGAGGATCAGCGAAAAATACGGACCATGCTCATTTCACAGCAGGTGGGATCACAGAGTAGCACATACTTTTCTCGCCCTGTCAAATCTACCTCCTGTCAAGTCTCCACACTTCCTACATTATTTTGTTCTTTTTGCTTTTGTAGCTGCTACCTCTACTCGAAAAGTCTCTTGGAAATCCCTCCCTTCAGAATGGTCCTCTCTTCCTTTTGGTCACTGAAATGCTTGTTTCCTGGGAGAAGAGATCAGGTTTACTTAGTGTTGGTGAAGCCAATGACAGCACAGGCGTCTTTCAAGAGCTTCTGGCTGACTTCTGGGAGGAGCTTGGTCTTCTCTTTGTGAGTTATGTTGACAACGACGAAGCGGATCCACAGGCTTTGGAAGGGATAGCCACCTTGCTGCAGGCAAGTTTTGGTTTAAGACATAATCACCATTGAAATTTCCATGTTTACACGAAGGACACAGCAAATCAATACAGCTGTCCCAATCATTCATGTCTTAAAACATGGCCAGAGTGAAACAGAAAACAAAATGCCTAAATAAATCTCTTGTCTCTAGGTGATGCGCTACCCCGAGAGAGTAAACAGAAAGCACATCCAGAAGAAGAAATCTGTCAAGATCTGTTTCTCTAAGCCAGAGGACAATGAGGAAACTGAAGCTGAGGGGGATAATGTTGAGAAGCCTGTGCAGACGGTGTCAGAGCTTGTGAATGAGAAGACATTTGGATCCCTACAGACCCAGTGCTTTGAGGACGTGGTGTGCCAGCTGGCACAACTGTGCCTGGTGAATGTGAATGAGAAAAACTCAGAGAGGCATCTTGTTTTTCTCTCCCTTCTCCTGCGGTCCTTCCACACACAGAGGGTCTTTAGTGTAAGTTATTTTTGACCATTGTGTATTTCAGTGTTTGTTGTTTTTAATCATTGAGTTGAATGTAAGCAGTTCTGTCAACTAATCTACATAATTTAGTTATTGGGTATATATTACCTTTTAATGTATATGAGGATCAATTCAGTATGAAATCATTTAAAATGCTTGAATGTTAATTTTAGATTAAATAATGAAGGAAGCTCTTAGAGTTCCTCTATGCAACTGACTTTTCATTTGATTTGTGCTTCTTTTAGTCATTGGGCGAGTTGGATGACAGCGTAACAAAGGACGTTGAGCAGAGAGATGAGCTGAATGTGAAAAATCCAGCAGTGCAGTTCCTGCTGGAGCGGGTGGTGGTGTGGCTGACTGAGAAGGGCCGCACAGACACTGAGCACCTGGTAGAGATGGTTTTCAGCTCACTCTACTGCTGCAGCC